TCTCAGCAGTTATGATTGAGCAATTTCTCATCTAAGTATCTCCCCCATGAAATTACAGTCTCTACCATATAAGCAGGTGTTTAAGAGAGGTCACAGTGGCCTCATTTTTAAGTCAACACTAGAAACAGAAAAACAGCCATCAGTACATAAATGTGGGAACAATTCATGCCCCTTCCACACAATGGCCTGTGATAGCTTCACCAATGACCAGAAGCACAGGGAAACCCAGCAGGGTTTACTCCTTTAAGAAAAACTGAAGAAAATACTAGAAAGAATGGGCATGGCTCTACCCGCTCTAGAAATGGCAAACTCTCCACTGGGGACACAAAGCAAGTGGTCCTCTTGGGATGGGGGTCACAGGGAACAGCAGTGGCCACAGGAGAGTTCCCCAGTGGTGTGTCAATGTGCTCTGCATCACCAGTGGGGCGAGGGTCTCCAGGCCTCCCAAAGCCTGCACCTCGCGCTCACCACCTTCTGGCCCCTCTCTCTAGGTCCGAGCACCAAACACGGCACATTGTGACCGAGTTCAAGATCTCGGTGTGAGAAGTTGTCCGTGTGCACCTGACAGTTACAGCCTGTGGCGGGCGGTCCAGCCGTCACAACACGAACACGCCTGAGTCGGGGAGTGAGGATTGAGAAAGGAAAGAACACTCAAACCTGAGTGGAGACGAAGAGAAATCTGATTTATTTCCCAGAAATAGCTCCTTTTATAGGTTCACATCAACAGGAAGCACCAAGCAACTATTTGTATCTTTTATGCAAAGACTGGATTTTCTGACTCTTTGCAAAGAACATCAGATCTTTGGCTGACATGGCTGTCTCTTTGAGTTTCTTCCGTTGCAGCAACAAGTTTAACAAGCAGAGTCCTAGAATGTTACAGATTGTATCAATGCCTTGAGTGAAGAGGTGAAGAAGTTTCCTTTTATGTGTCAAACTCCTAGAGGGCCACTGCCGGGATCCCACGCAGCCTGCTTTGGATCCTCCATGCCTGGCCACGAAGGGGATATAATTTGAAACACTTCCATCCTTTAAGGAAAATTGCTATGGGCATTTGTGAAACATTTTCTAGGACCCTGAGCACAGTGTCTTGAGAGAGAATGAATCCTTTGGACAGAAAAGCACACTTCCAATATTTCTGCTACATCTTAAGCATCTATCTATCTATCTATCTATCTATCTATCTATACGTGTGCGTGTGCGTGTGTGTGTGTGTGTGTTGCATTAAAACTTCAAATTCATCAAACTCTAATATCAGACAGCTTTTCTAGTTTCTCATTGCTCATGCTAAGGAGCACACAGACTTGTTCACCATGGAAAGAAATAGGGGTACAGGGTCTTCTTAGCAGAGGGTGAGACTCAGCCACAGACCCCAACACATGACATCACTTCCTTGGTGACTGGTCCAAACAGAACTCGGAACCCTACATTCAATAGGCATCACAGTCACGACTGCTGCTTAAGAGTCACTTGGCTGGAGACGCTCAGCAGTGAACATGCTGTGCTGCTTTCCCAGATCTCGAGGCCGCAGCCTCAGGACCCCTCGCAGGGAAAGCACTTGGGAACGAGTGAGAGGATGGATGACTAAGTCCAGGCGCAACAGGCCACTGGGCAGGAACCGCTCAGCCCACGTGGGCAGCACAGGGCAGGTCTCTCCAGACCCAGAGGCCTTGGGCCCTGAGATGAGGGGCAGCCATGGGCAGGCCTCCCTGGGCCTGGAAACCAGACACTCTGAGAAAGTGAGTCCAGGACAAGAACATTTAGGCCTGGACACCACTGTGAGTCTCCTGAACAACTCCCACCCTAGGTCTTCACTATCTGGGGGGTGGGCAGGGTGAGGATTAAAATTCCTCCTGGGCAGGACCAGGCACTGCGAAGCTGTGAGCTCGGGGTCCTGTCCAATCTCACCCATGACAGGGCTGGCAGGAGGAGAGGGCAGTGCCCACTGACGGCCCACAGCCTCCATAGACATCTCTCCTGTCCCCCCGGGGTAGAAGCCTGTGACACAGCTGTTTGTGTTTGGGGAGCACAAGGTTACCTGGGTTTTTTTTTTTTTTAAAAAAACCACAGCACATACTGGTCAGGTAGAACCCCATGCTTCCTGCCAGCTGCTGGGCACTGTCCCCACGGAACAGCCCACAGGATATTGGCATCGAGCTGTCACCGGGGCCTGTGTGCCACGAGCCTGTGACAGACACTGGGGTCATAAGAACAGCAGGGGCCATGTCAGTCAAAGGATGTGAGACAGAGCAGAGGTCACTCTGTGCTGAGGACACGGGACAGAGAGGACCCTCAGGGACAGATGAACACCTTCACCTCCTCCCTGCAGGACTTGGGAGCAGTGGCCAAGGGTCCTGCTTACAAAGGACTCCAGATGCCATGAGCTCAGCATCCACATGCTCTCTGCCCAGCCAGCACCGTGGCCAGGGGCAAGGTCACTATCCACATGCTGGGGAGAAGAGGAAAAGGACACGGACACTGGGTCACCTCACTTCTGCCATGATCGCACTCTGCCATGTCACTGCATTGTCCCTGCTGGCCCCAGGCGTCCATGTGGATTGAGGAATCCTCTCTACCCTGGGAGGGGTCTCAGGACCCAGGGGCTATTGCTCTTCATGCATGGAGTTACACACAGCCTCTCCTCCGCTAACAAGCTGGCCTGAAATGCTAGCATTTCTAGGTGTCCTTTCTGAAATTTAATTTCATACAACAATCACTCTTCCGAGCCCTCCTGGTAGGAGCCACTGTGGACGATTCAGAGTTTGATCAGGTTTTAATCTTCCAACCCTCCTGATGAGCCTTGGCTGGGACCCCAACTCCATGTCTCCCCACTGTCCCATCACAGATTGGAAATCAGGAGGCGGAGAGCCTGGCAGAGGTCTGCGCAGTGAGGACGGCTCAGACAGGCCGACCACACACCCTGTCTGAGCCCCCGGAGCAGGCCTTCCCGGACAGCTGTCCCATCAACAGGCCCTCCTTCCAGGAACCCACAAGGGCCTGCATTTCCTCCCCACAGGAGGGGAGCCTAGAAAGGTGAGTTCTGCCCTCAGCAGCACAATGGACTTGGCCACTATGGCTCCAATCTTGGGAACCTGCAATCCCCTCTCTCAGCCTCAGTTGGCAATTCTAAGCAGGGCGGTGCTGAGAAAATCAAGCTCACTGGGACTGCAGGATGGAAAGGGGACTCTTATCATAAGGGTCGATCCTGCCCTTGGCCCCGTGTTAGACCAGCTACAGCAGCAGGGGATTCACAGCAG